ATTAATTATATAATAATATTTATATATTAAATATTATAATATTATGTAATTATATATTATATATATATTAATTATTAATTATTATTAATATTATATATTAAATGTCACATAATATTGAAATTTTAAATTATAAATTATAATATTTAAATTTATTTAATAATATAATAGTAATTTAGAACACATAGAGAGCATAATAATATAAAACATTCTGTTCTATAAATAATACAAAATAATTTGTTAAGCATTTGTTCATCTTAGAAAGTAAACAAATATTTCTGATATTTAACTTTTGTGACAATTTGTTCTTCAACGAGATTAAACATTTTTAATATAAATTATAAAATATAAAACAATTATTTCATTATATTCATATATTTTTTTTTAATTTAATGTTAATTCTTAAATTAATAACTTACTACAATTGAAGTTGGAATGTCATAACATTTCGTCACTCTTCAGAGAAATTAATAATTACAATAAGAATGTAGAATATTTTCACTTTCTTCTTTCACGACTCGTTATGCTTCATCATTTCATATATGTGTGTGTGTGTGTGCTTGTATGTGTGCACAAAGAATTTGAAACGAATCTATTAATGATTCAAGACACGACTTGTCGTGTCTTAACGTTGTCCATTTTTAATATGATTGAGACTACGTTTTAAATACACCTTTCTCTCGATTAACATGAATGATTGATTCCTTAGAATATCATCTAATTAAAATCGTTGTTTTCAATTAATATAAACAGAGATATAAAAACAAAAAAAACAAACAATTTAAAAAGAAATCAGTTGATTTAACACTAAATATACCACCATTTTCTACCACCTTAGTCAAAATGATTGTTGTATAAAAAAAAAATGCCTTTTTGAGGTTACCAGTTTTTATTTACTCTTAAGAAAATAACATAAAATATTTAACAATAATAATTTTAATAGATAATTGGATTTATAGACATTTTTAAATTATTTACAGTAATCAATTGTCACATGAAGTAGAAATTTTGAATTAAAATGGCCCCGACCAGTCAAAATGACTGGTCTGATATATCAAGTGTTAATTATTACAATAAATTATAACATTAAATATGCTAATTATAATTTATTTATATTATAAGATTTATAAATATAAATAATTGATATATATATAAGTATTCAAAGAAAAGTCATAGTTTGATATATTGTAAACTAAATTAAATTTGCATCATTTTACCTATTTATTTATTTATTGCCTCCATAGTGGTGCCCTCTAGTGCAAAAGCTTAAGGAAAAGATATAAAATTAATATATATATAATTTAATATTATAACTAACAAATTTAATTTATATTAATAATTAATATATTTATATTTATAAATCTTAAAATATAAATAAATTAGATCTAGTAATAACCATAGAATATAACCAAGGATATACACAATTGAATCTTTTTCATAATCTTCTGCACTAGAGGGCTCCACTATAGAAACAATAAATAAATAAAATGATGTAAATTTAATTTAGTTTACAATATATCAAACTATGACTTTTTTTTTTTTAATACTCATATATAACATTTATTTATATTTATAAATCCTAAAATATATAAATAAATTATAAGTAACATATTTAAGGTTTTATTTAGTGTTATAATTTATTGTTATAATTATATTGTGTTATAATATTATTGTTATTATTGTGTTATTTGTGTTATATTTATTGTTATTATTATATTATTATTTATTTATTTATTGTTATTATTGTTTTTTATTGTTATATATTGATATACATATATATCATCATCAAACTTTCACGTGTACTGATTTCTGTCTCTGAATATCTTTAGAACGCTTAATTTAATCGCCAAAACATAAGACACCATTTTTATAGAGCACTTAATTTCCTACAAAAATTAGTATTGCGCATTTTATAATAATCATTTATTGTCGAGTTATAAAATTCACAAAAAAAAAAAAAATGAAATTTGTCTGAAAATAATCAAACTTAAATCTTCAATATCATTCAAATGGTGAGGTTTATGGAAAAAATATAAGAGACCTTTTTTGTAGAGCATTAAATTTCCTACAAAATTTGTCTCGAACATTTTTCTGTACAATCAATTAATAATGAGGTATGAATTTTATTCTATTGGACTGAAAAAAAAAAAATAAAAAACTGCGATGCGGAGGATCTTCCTATTAAAATGAAGATCTCATATTTGGTGAGAATTGTTTTAAGGCCCATTTTTCCGTGGCTCTTGTAAAAAAAAAAATAATTGATTTTTTTCACTAACACTTGATATACCACCATTTTCAGTATACCTATTTCTACCACACTAGTCGAAATGACTGATGTATAAAAAAAAAAATGCTTTTTGAAGCTAGCAGTGTTTATTTACTCTTTAAAAAAATAACAAAACGCTTAATTATTTACAGAAATCAATTGTTACATAAAGTAGAAATTTTGAATTAAAATGGCCCCGACTAGTCAAAATGACTGGTCTGATATATCTGACTATATCTAGTGTGTTAAAAGTTATTATTATATATAACAAATCAAAGCAAATTGAAACTTAACATATTACTCAAAAAAAAAAAAAAAAAAAAAACAACTTCGATAAAAATATAAAATCCGCATGGAACTATCATTCTTTTGATATTCAACGTGATTAGGTGTCGTTGTTGAAAGACAAAATCATCAGTTCTTTTTTTTTTCTTTTTTTTTTTTCTTTTTCATCGGTTAACAAAAAAAAAAACTGAAAAACTCTGTATTATTAACATGTCCGTGTGTTACTTAACAATTACGAGATTACGTCGTTATTTATCCCGACGTTACAAACTGTTAATTAACCTTCTCAACCACTGTAATAATTATGCAATTGTGTGCATTAAACTCTCGTGTATAAATACATATACTTTGTCCTGTTTTTTGTTGTTGTTGTTTTTTTTTTTTTTTTTCATCAAATTCTTATGCAGCCTATTCTAGTCGTTGAGAGACACAAAGACACAGAGAGACAGAGAGAAAGAGAAAGAGAGACAGAGAGAGAGAGAGAGAATGGGAAAATATTCATGGAGAATATGTAATTCTTAATTAATTATGGGTAAACAAAAAGTGAAAGTAAAATATTAACCGAGCACGGCATGGCTCAGTCGGTAGAGCGCTCAACTCCTGCCCGGAATTCGCGGGTTTGAGTCCCCGCTCTCCGACATCGAACGAGGGAGGGACATGCCCTGTGCTCGTCGTCGTGGCTTTGGGCTCGCGGGCGTCAGAAATGATGTCATTGGGACCACCGCCAACATTCGATGTGATGGGTTTTGGGGGGACCGGACTGTGCTGCACTTCGCACGGAAGACGTGGCTGCCCACGGGAACTACCACAATGATAGGTGCCTCCCCGCAAAGGGCTCGGGCACAATGGTTCAAGGACTGAGCGCCCGGGATAACAAACCGCACGAAAAAAAAAAATGCTAATTAATAGAGCACGGCATGGCTCAGTCGGTAGAGCGCTCAACTCCCGCCCGGAATTCGCGGGTTTGAGTTCCCGCTCTCCGACATCGAACGAGGGGGGACATGCCCTTGTGCTCGTCGTCGTGGCTTTGGGCTCTCGCGGGCGTCAGAAATAATGCCATTGGGACCCCACCGCCAACATTCGATGTGCTGGGCTTTGGGGGGACCGGACTGTGCTGCACTTCGCACGGAGGACGTGGCTGCCCACGGGAACTACCACAATGATAGGTGCCTCCCCGCAAGGGGCCCGGGCACAATGGTTCAAGGACTGAGCGCCCGGGATAACAAACCACACGAAAAAAAAAAAAAAGTAA